TATATGGAGTCTATTAGCATAACGCCGCCCCGTAATACTTCTTGCCGCACAGAAACATCATTCTACAAGTCCAGCCCTGGTCAGAACATGTTTTACCCACCAGAGTTAGAAGCAACATCAGGAGGTTCAAAAAATCCTAAGATTGTTAAAATCTGTGTTTTTCTCAAAGAGTTTATTGGGCAAAGTTATATAGTATTGGCAGCTTCTCCTGCCCACACAGCTCTTGGGGATAAGAGATGAGAATAAATATATTAAAAAAGAATCATGATACTTGAACAGCTATTTTTATTTTGAATTTGCTACCTTTCAAGTCAGTATACCAATTTTAGAACAACAGTTACTTTAGACATCACTAGAGACAATATCAAGAGCTTAAGCACCTAAGTTTCTACATAACTCCAGTTTTTACCTATTTTTCAAATGTAACAAGCTCATAACCTTTTTGAGCGGACACATGTCATCTCTTTTGCAGTCTTTAACCAGCTGCAATCTTGTCCACATCATATACTTCCATATCTTTCTAAGGGTTTGAAAATCTCCAGCCATTCCACATCTGACACTGGCTTCCAACATCCATCTCTGCTTATGATGGAGCTATTACTACAGGAATCAGATTCAGACTTGCAAATTGCAGCAGGAGTCTCTCTGCTTTTCTGGTCAAACTGAATTCCAAATCTCTCTTCCCAGGTTTTGTTTTCCTGATCAGTTTCCTCAGAGGTGATGATGTTTCGGATCAAAGTACTCTGCAAATCTGCACAAGATCTGATGTTAAGCCAACACTCATAGGAGGGCAAAGATGGCTCAAAGGCTTGTTGGTCTCTGCTTTCCACTCCTTTGTCACCAATTTCCTTGTTTCTCAATGGCCTTGTGTTTGCCTCATGGAATCCTTCATTGTTTAGCTCATCGAAGCTTGATGCAACATCCTGCTTTTCTCTTTCTTCCACAGGGACAGCCAAGCCTTTCACAACTCTCTCACACCGGTTTAGGAACACTGAGGTAGTTTTCTCCAAGTCTGATGCACTCAGAAACTCTCTATTATCTACTTCACACATCTCAGGGGTGGTTTTTCCCCACTCTTTGCACATGCCGTGGGTGCCTTCAGTCTTACCCATGTGTGTCTTGCTGTGGCTTCCAGGAGCAGGGAACCCCACCCCTATGCTACAACAGCACGATAAGAACAAGTCAGAAACACTGCAGGGAACGAGCATCCCCACACTGTATACCTAAAGCTCTGCACTACCAGAGGCTCTTGCCACAGCTCTGTGGTACTTCACATACTAACAGGCAGCTGGATCCTGCCAAAACCTGACAGTCTGCTCATATTTGCTGTGACTTTCCAAACTGAGAGTTGTCTCATGTTTTCTACAGTGTGGTGATTCTGTCTGAAGCTCCAAGGTGTGCACCAATAGGTTAATTTAAGGTTTACTTCCTAAAATAAACTTTGCTTTTGAAGCAGTAGCAGTGATCCAGTTTAACACCCCTTCCACCAGACTATTGCATGAACTAAAACATCATGAGCTGTATGGCCTGCTACAACACTTTAGTCTGTGGCTGGTGTTCAGTGTCTCCTGACCAAATAAAAAACAAGGTACCCAACAGCTTCACCAAATGTTTGTGGTCGAGTTCAGCAAAGCCATCTTGCCACAGCACACACCTCTGTGAGGATGTTAGCTCTGCCTGAACAGTGAAGTCTCTCTCTGAGAGCAAACTATTTTAAAAGAAATGCAAAAAATTACCTCCTTCCATGTGCTGCACTTTGCCTTGAGCCCTGAGAGCTCTCCAAGTTGATGTGAAGAAACTCTAAGTCACACTGCTGTTTTGTACAGGTCTGTTAAAGACAGCAATGGGCATTCATGGAAGTCTGGAGTGCAAGAAGATCATCATTCTCAGGTACTAACACATTGCTTGTCTTCCAAAAACAGCCTTAAAATGTTTGTATAAACCAGTACCTGTAGTCAAATCATCATCAAAGACTTCCAAATCCGAAGGGACATCTCTGTATGTATTTAGGAAAATAACATTCTGCAGGACCTCTCTTAGAGCCTGCAGAGCTCTTCTGATAGAACCACACTGAACCATGAATAAAACATCATTACTATTACCTGATACTTACTACATGTTGTTATTATGTTGTTCACAGTTATAGAATCACAGGACATGGATGATGATCATGGGATTCAGTGTGCACTGCAGGGGAATTTTTGTGAAGCTAATGAAGAAGATTAAATTGCAAATAATTGATGGGTATGTTAACAAATGGAACAAGCCTTGAGAACCTCAGCTGACTGCAGGGGAAGGCACAAGGTTTAAGTCTCCCTTGGAAAACAGATCTGTCAGTACACCATGTCCCAAAGGCTGCTGAGTTCACCTTGGGCAGGTGTGTACACCCCACTGCCACTGCCCTTCATGTGGCTCCTCAAGCACCAAAGGCTTTTAAGTCTAACCCCAAATAAAATAAACCAACATTCTACAGGGATCCCAGCAAGGCAGGAACAGCAAATGTGGTTTTTTCCCTTAATTAATAGTAGCTAGACCTAACTTTTTAATACTGTTCCATGCAGATGTGATGTTACTGCAAATGCTTTTATAACCTGAGCACAGAAACACGACTGGGGTTGTACCTGCTGCAGACTGGACAACTCTGTGTCAATCCGTGTCTGTTTAGACTTGGCAAACTGATAGAATCGATCCATTCTCTTTGCTTTCTCCACTGTTCCAAAACACATACAAGTTTCGAATTACTACAGTGAACAGACACAAAGCAAGTGAGCTGCTAACACCATGTCTGTAGCAGTAGCAGGTGATGCCTAACCCAAACAAAGCATTCTCTTAAAATCAATGGGATGTTTCCTCTCCAAATGAAAAGAGCACAAAACCCATAAGTAAACAGTCAAGTATTTTCCTTGGACTTTTCCTCAGCACCTGGATTTGTTTTACTAGCAGCAATGTTGTGCTTCATTGACTGACTTATTTAACTTTTTTATAAAGGAAAAGAAAGGGAAAAAGGGGAAGTGGAAAAGGAAAACAGGGGAAAGGGAGAAAGGGAGAAGGGGCAGAGGGGAAAAGGGAAGGGGGAAAAGGGAAGGGGGAAAAGGGAAGGGGGAAAAGGGAAGAGGGGAAAATTTAGGTTAGATATTGGGAAAAAGTTTTTTCCTGTGAGGGTGGTGAGACATTGGAACAGGTTGCCTAGGGGGGGAAAAGGGAAGGGGGGAAAAGGGAAGGGGGGAAAAGGGAAGGGGGGAAAAGGGAAGGGGGAAGGAAGGGGGGAAGAAGGAAGTGGGAAGAGGAAGGAGAAAAGGAAGGGAGGAAAAGGAAGGGAGGAAAAGGGAGAGAAGAAATTCAGTTAGTTAATTCGAATTCATGCTTGTACAGAGAAGAGCTGGAAAGTACTTCCCAACACTATTGTTTTTAAAATAATGAGACATGGGATCAGTATCTGGCAAAGGTAATGGCAAGGAAATCACCTCACAGCAGAGGACATCTAAGGCCACCTAAGCTTCCAATGTCTATATGGCTTGTCCCTAAGAATACTGCAGTGACCCTCATCCTGCCTTTCTCACCCACTGCAGCACTGTTCCCCTAGCCCAAAACCAAAGTGGAGGTACCAGAGAGAACAAGCTGCAGTGTAGCCAGTCCTGCATATTAAACCAGTCTAAACCAAATCCAACAGTTAAAGAAAAGCAGGAGAGAAATGAATTTGTAACCCTCTGCTTCCATACAAATACCAGAGGGAGTAATGGGCTGGTCAGTTCATGGGACCTAAGCTTTAGGTTTTGCCTTTCTTCAGTAGGTCTCTATTCTATGCAGAAGGGAAAAGGCTACCCCCATTTATTGTATTAACACCATGGGAGACATGAAAGTCTCAATAATTTGTGAAAGAATCCTTTCAGCCATTTTTTCCTCCTTGTATAATCACTTTGGTGAACTTTGTGCTTTCACAAGATTTTATAAACTGTCCCTGCAGAAGGCCCAGATATTGCTCTCATACACGAATGGCACACGAGATACACTTTTATTAAACTGCAAGGGAGGTAGATAAGAAGTTGCCTCCTTCACAGATATCAGTGAATTGCTGTCTAGAAGCCTCTGAGCTGTGGAAAGAAAAGACATGAAAAGCCAACTGCTCACCCTGACATGCAAGTGCCAGCTCCCTCCTCAAACAGCCATTTTCCTGCTTCAAGTGCATGATTTCATCTAGCTGCTTGCTGTTTTCTCTCATCTTTTCAGAGAGGACATCTATAAAACACAATGCAGTGTTTCCCAGAATGAAAAGGAATGGTGCTGGTCTATGCTGAGTTAGGTGTTCAGTATAAACATTTACCTTTCAGCTGATTTGTTTGAAGCACTAGTTCTTTCAGTGTCAGCTTGAGGTCTTGCTGTTCTCTGCTGGGACTGAACTCCTGTGTCCTTGCTGCACATAATGCACTTACCAGCTTCTTAAATTTGGATGTAAACTCATTAATGTGATCTGTTGTTTCAAGTAAAGCTTTGTCCTGAAACAGGAAATAGAATGTGCTCTTATTTTTGATGTTATAGATGGATCTTGACAAAACAACAGGACATCATCCTACTGCAGTAGTTAAAGTGACTTCCTGGATTTTCTTATGTGCTCTTGGGGGTAAAAAAAAACCCAAATCAAAGCCTGTTTAAGCTTGTTTATGAAAACAAACCAGTTTATTGTTTGTTGACTATTTTCCCTCCTCAAACAAGCCTATCAGTGAAACATCAGTGAAATAAACAGTGACAGAACCCCTGTGGTACAGTCACCAGCACCTGCACAGCAGTTTGACCACATTTAGTGCATCATGAGGTGACAAGTTACCTTCAGCTTGAGCATGGTGAGAAGCTCCTGTTCTCTTGCTTGCAGTTGGCCTATTTTAACAGACAGTTCCAAAACTGAGCAGTGGAGACTCTGATTTCTCTCCTAGTGAATAGAAATAAGTGTCAGCTCTTACTTCAGCAACTCCAAGTTCTTGTTTTTTCCAGTGAATGTGTCCACAATGTTATTTAAACATCACAAATGGCAATGTGGGATCCTGAACAGGCTGGAGAAGAGGACTGGAGCAAAAATTGTTACCTAATTTGCTTGTGGTCAAGAATCCTCATACCCTGCAAGTCTTGAGTCAAGATAATGAGAAAAAATGCAGAATATTGCTTTACTTCATTGCATGCAGGGGGAAAATTATCCCAATCAATCCCAAAACAATCCCAATTATACAATCATTGCAAAATCACTTAAGAAAATACAGAACCATTGAATTATAGAATCATCAAGGTTGGAAGAGACCTCTAAGATTATCAAGTCCAACCCTTGAATACCAATTATTTTCATATCCTTAAACTGTTTTTGAATGTTACATTTCATCACAGCAATCAAAGCTCTACATAAAACCTCCTGAAACTCCCTAACCAAGCCCCTGTACTGATCTGGGGCCAGCACTGTGCAATCCAGTGCCTGGAACTCTTGGAGGTGAGTTGGTCCTGAGCAGGGTTTCCCCAAAACTAAGCAGACAAACAGAAACTCCAAAGTCCTGATTCTAGCCTAGGAATGCTGTTTTGCTCCCTCCCCCTCACTTTTTCCCCCTCAATGAATCAGAGCTATATCTTAATCAAACATTACTGATCAAAAGCAACTCAGGAGCCTTAACATGAAATCTTTAATTACCAGTGAAACTCCCAAATGCCACCGGCATCCTGCACATGCACGGACTGCAAAACCAGTCCATTACTCAAGCCCTACCTCCAGATCCTGGCAGTGAACAGTTGTATCTGTCACTTTTTGAGTCAGCTCCTTAAACTTCTGCTGTGTGCTATTCAGTGCTGTCCTCCTGTCATTCTGCTGAGATTCTAAGAGTTTTAACTTTTTGGTCAGTGATTTTATAATTGCATTTTTCTCATTCAACTCACCTGAAAAGAAAGGAGAGGTTATCTGTGAGAAAACAGCTCAGAGGATGTCATGCAGTTTTTTACATCTCAGAGATAGTTTAACCCAGTGTTTTAAAACCATGCGATTCAGAAATGGATGTTCACATTGCACACTCCAAAGCAGGATTCCCTGGACACCCAGGTCAGGTGGAATGTGATCTCCATGGTGAGCTCCATACCATGGCTGTCAAACAAGACTGTTCAGAGCTGCCATGCGTTCCTCTGGGTGGTTTGTGGGTGATGTCAGAGCTGAGCAGCACAACCCCAGGGCACAGGGCTCTGCAGCACACCAGCAGATTGTCCTCTTCCTCCACATCTATTTAATCAGGTTCGTTGAAGGAATTTACACATTCGAAAGGCAAAGAGCTACCTTATTCTCACACCCCCTTCAAGATCAGATCACTTTAGGACCATGGTGAAAGTTTGGCTCTCAGAAAGAGGTAATAAAACGCAAAGGGTGAGGGGTAGGAAACGGTTCTTTATATGATGCAAAGCTGCTACTGAGGGGTCAAGGCACCTGAATGTACTTAGAAGGCCAATGATTTATTCCTCATAGGCACAACACTCACTGGTTAATAAGTTGCATTGTTCTGTTAAAGTCAGGATCTTCTGGTGATCATCCTCCCAGGTCTGGATGTGTCTCTCATGCACTGCAACCATGTCATTGAGCTCCCTGTCACGATCCTTCAGTTGTGCAATTAACTGCTGGAGTTCTTGCCTCTGTTTCTCAATGATACCATTCTCACAACTGGGGCTGAGTGCCTGCAAAAGGTGAGACAGGAATATATTTCAACACAGAGGGGTGACAAATTCTCTGATAAAAGACTCGAGGGTTTTAAGTTGAAATATGTTTATATTATAAATAGAAAACACTCCAAGAAGTTCTCACACTGGTGGTACCACCTGTGGTGCTTTACTGAAACCCTCAGCAATACAAGGTGCCATCACTTGTGTTCCACAATTCAAACCAACAGCAGCACAATGAGGATTTTCCTGCTAAAGACAGAGCTGATTAACTGGTTTCATGTTTTACCTGGGGCGAAGCAGAACGCAGCAGCGATGAACTCATGGGGGACTCGAGGCCAGGGCACTGCCAGGCGGCAGTGGACACCAGGAGCTCTTTCGGGCTGGCA